TACACTTTTGCGATTTGTGCTCATACAATTTTGTAGTTTTTATTAAGTTAAAAATATAGAAGTCGTACATGTTACTCTGCGTCTTTAATTTCATTATTCCCGAAAATCCGCTGTGATTACTCCAGAACAGATATACAAAAATTGTAAAAGTAGTCCAGCAGTTTACGTTAGAAAGAAAATCTACTCGTAATCTACTTGGAGGTCTTAATATCAAGGAGTAAGTCATTCAAAGTATATACACATTTCAAAGTTTGATAGTAAACGGCGAAAGAAATGCGGACGAAGCCGGATAAAAAAGGACTGCATATTTATATTTGACCCAAAAAATTAGTGCTGGTTGGTAGTTTGTATTCACACGTTTCGACTTGTAAATGTAAACTTACAAGGATTATTTAAAAGAGCAACACACAAGTTTCTTGCTCGTTCTTCTTGTGATGAGACAGCTTTCCGAAAGAAAACAAATTGTTATGACTATTCAAAAGCGCTTAAATTAAGTTTATTTGAATAAATGATTTTCTATTCTATTCTATTCTATTCTACTAGTCTTAGTATTTATCTTACGAGAAGTCATCATGAATTACCAATCATTCGCAATGACTCGTCATCAGTACTCTTCAAAATATTGCCCATAAAAGTTCTTATAGGATCACTTATATCCTTAACGTCCTCATAAATATCTACAAAAACCTAATCTACCTGAGTAGGTACTTCGTTGCGTGATCTGTTTATCCTCGAACCACCTGCCTACACCAGCGTCGCTGGTACACGAATACTAAAACTTTAATTATGTTTTTCTAAAAGACTCAGCAATGAGCGAGTTTTTAAAGGAACAATTTATAAGCGCAAGCGGGAACGGATTATTATAAATATATCTATTAATAGCTGTCTTTACACGTTACACTGTTTCACACGCAATTACGCTTTCACACAGGAAGAATGTGCATGTAAAAGTAGACACAGTAATTCTGTGTGAGAGAGACCGTGCGTGCGTGAGAGAGATCGCGTATTCCCGCATTTTCAACTATGCGTGCTTTAGCGCCTTTTTAAAATAATTAACTGTCATTGCAAAATGGACGACATCTGACTATTGAAGTAAAATATAATTATAGTGTTCAACATCTACCCTGTATCATCGTAAGCACAGATTATTATATTAGAGTCCGTTAGTTTTCTGTTCCCGCGCTTTTACTTCCCCTCCCTTACCTAGTACTGAACTGACCGTACAGCGGCCTTGACGCGCGCGCGCATTGTGTTGTGAATTAAAATAAATTAGAACTGTGTTAAACCTATTGTGAAACTGGAAAGCTAGCGAAGATACCTTCGAGACCCTGAAGCCCAAGAAATCCGCAAAACCATACAGGTACGTGACAGACGCTTCCACCTATTTCTCCCTATATATATACATAGTAAAATCCCTAACATTTTGGTAGCAGAGAGTATTTTCCCTAACATATAGTTTAAAATAAAATATACAATTTTAAATTTAAGTGAAATGATTAATTTAATACGTGAAAATAAGCGTGAAATCGTGGACACAAAATGCAATCACGAGTGCGCACCGCTTTACCGCACCGCTTTACTGCGCGCTCTCCTGATTACGCGTGAAAGAATGTGTCGTGTAAAAGCAACTAATAATTATAATATATGTAGATAATAATTATATGATCTCTACTTTTGGTTTCATTTTACCGAATAAGATTTCATACAAAATGTATGAAGTCTTATAATGTACTTATAATGTACTCTGTTTTCCATATTTCTATAGTTCGAAAGGTGGCGATAATCTACATATTTGATTCAGCTCGTATATAATTCTATTTCAAAAAAGTTACTTATAATGACTCTTTATGGAATATGGAGTTTGTAACAAAATTACGCATGGTATTCGTGTCTTATTGTTTACACAAACATTTGTATTCTATTATATATCTATGTATTTATATCAGATATCTAGCCATACTAACCACACATAACACAAGCTCTGCTTAATTTGCAACTACGTGTAAATTGTCCAGGGATATTCTTATTTTTATTTCAGACGAATAAACCAAGTTTGTACTCCCGCTTATAACTTATCACTTGAGCCATAAAACATTTTGTTTACTGTTTACCTGAAAGGGTTTTGCTCAAATCGTTTACGAACAGCCGGCCGCGCCGGATGCACGTCAAGATGAGATGTAAATATAGAAACAGTTTGAGCTTGATGCTTTTCTATATTATCTCATTGTATATGTACATTATAAAATTACTTAGTGTTTTTTAAATAACATCGTAGCTTAGTATTTATTACCTCGACTTAAGTGAGGCGTTAGAGTCGCGAGTTTGAATCAAACCAATAAAAATCTATGTGTAATTTATATTTCTGACTGAACAGTCTGTGACTGAAACTCTGGTAACAAACCAAATGAATCCTAGAGATAGCGGCGGTTCGGCGACCACGTTGATCAAACCCAGCGGAATGTGGGTGTGGACGATTAAATAATAATAATAATCTCAGGACAATTCACACAGCGCCATCTAGACCCAAGTTAAACTAGCTAAAGCTTGTGATGTAGGTACTAGATAACTGATACAAATACATAGATATTCTTTTTCATAAATATATATATATATTATATATAGAAAACACCCAGACCGATACAAACAATCATACTCATGAATACAAATGTTTAAGTCGTGAGAGGAATTGAACCCGCGACCATCGGATCTAGACCACCGACCGTCAAAGAATGGACTGCATGCGTGATATAAACCAAACTATGGAAGACAATGATAAATACTTATTATGAAGATAGAAATAGAAATAGAAATATAGAAATAATCTTTATTCAAATAAACTCATTACAAGCACTTTTGAATAGTCATATTTTGATTCTACGACTCATTCGGAATGCAGATTCATCACAAGAAGAATGAGCAAGAAACTTGTGTGTTGCTCTTTGAATATATATATTCCAATCTATCCCTAAATATAAAATCTTTTAATTAAACGTCTCTTATTATATGATAGAAATAACTTATAATTATTGAAAACAATAAGATAATTAATTAAGTAAGCACGCCTTCTTTATATTAGTGATTTTAATTAACGAAATTCTAATAAAGAACAAAGAAGAAATTTCATTAAAGCTGACTAGATCCACCAACATAATTATAAGTATGTATATTATTTTAACAGAATTATAATTAGCTAATTCAATCTGAAATTATTATAAACTTATATTCACACTAGTTATTCGCTCCGATTTCACTCACAAGGTACATAACAAACAATGCACCTTTATGTATAATTATAATTACACTAGCTGTATATATATTTGTTATTCTGATGTATAAGCTATATTACTGTAAATTTAAAAAAAAAAAATACTAAGATTAATTCTATTTGTATCATACAAATAGAATTAATCTTAGTATTTTTTTTTTAATAGAATACTTTATTCAAATAAACTTAATATATATCTACACTTTTGAATAGTCACATAATAGAATTAGTCCTTCAGAGTATTTTTCATTAAATAGAAATAGAAATAATCTTTATTCAAATAAACTCAATATAAGCACTTTTGAATAGTCACATTTGTTTTATTCTACCACTCATTCAGAACGCAGACTCATCACAAGAAGAATGAGCAAGAAACTTTTTTTTTTTTAATTTAAAGATGACATTTACATGTATACAATTTATTGTCACAATTATCGCCAAACTGCTTGGCAGTTTATTGGAGACTATGTGCACTCATTTTTACTTATACTTAACTAGCTTTTACCCGCGGCTTCGCTCGCGTTAATTTATCCCCTTAGGGGTGGAATTTATCAAAATACTTTGTTAGGGGATGCCTACGTCATAGTAGCTTTATGCATGCAAAGTCTCAGCCCGATCGGTTTAAAATTGACAAAGTTTCATACAAACTTTCATCCCCTATTTTATCCCCTTGGAAGTAGAATTAATCAAAATCCTTTCTTAGCGGATGCCTACGTCATAACATCTACCTGCATGCCAAATTTCAGCCCGATCCGTCCAGTGGTTTGGGCTGTGCGTTGATAGATCACTAAGTCAGTCACCTTTGAGTTATATATATTTAGATTTACAATTAAACTATAATATAGAACTTATACTTTTTCGAGTAGTAAGTGTGTGTTGATCTTTTAAAGAAATGTTGCCTTAAGTAGATTTACTTTAAAAAGAATTACTGATCCGATCATTCGAGTAGACCGTTACTTGAACTTTTTAATGTACCTTATCTTTCTTTAACAGAATGTGCCAACGAGGTCTTACAGAAAATATTGTTAAAAATTATATATAAAAATATATATGGACAATTCACACAACATCATCTAATCCCAAGCTGCAATCCCAAGCAGAACTTTTGTTCTGGGTACTAGGCAAAAAAACTTAGATACTTATTTTGTAAATAAATAATCCCATCAAAAACATAAATGTGAAATGATAGCCGAGTTTAATATTATGATATATGCCTTGATTGTTGACTTCTACGACAAAAGAGGTGAGATCTAAATGGGTGCTAAGTTCAATGGTCTGTCCTGAATTGTATTTATAATAATATAAAATATCATTTCTTCTTATAACTTAGGATAATATACTGTAGCCTAAGATCTGACTTGGCCAGTTCTCTTATACCAATTATTACTTTCGATTGCTAGTTACTACTAATAATAAAATAGGAACCGACAAGTAACATGTTTAGAACTTGCGAAGGCTACAGTATATTTCGTATATGAAAACCAGCCAAGTCAAAAGTGGCTCCAAATGGTTCGTGTAAATATATACACGGTGCTGCTCGCCAGTTCTCTTATTTGAAACTCGGCTTGACACGCTACCGCGTGTCTAGATATATTCTATACCTATATATAATATACAAACACACAGACCAATACAAACAATCATGAATACAAATGTTTGTACCGTGCGAGGAATCGAACCCGCGACCATCGGAAGTAAAGTGGTGTGCTTTATGTACTTTATGTTTCTTTAACAGAATGTGGCAAGCGACGTATTCTGGCCGGGGCTACGAAACGCATAGTGGGCGGTGTGGAGGCGTCTCCAGGAGACTGGCCCTTCTTGGCGGCGATCCTTGGCGGACCAGAGGAGGTGTTCTACTGCGCTGGAGTGCTGGTCGCTGACCAGTGGGTGCTGACTGCCTCGCACTGTGTCGGCAAGTGAGTATCTGTTTATATTCATTAACATACTAGCTGTTCCCGCGACTTCATCCGCGTGGAATTTAAATTTATTTTTAAGATAAAAGTAGCCTAAGTTACTCCTTATTACTCAGGTACCTGCCAAAAATATACCCGTCAAAATCGGTCCAGCCATTTCAGAGATTAACCTGAACAAAGAGACAGACAAAAATTGTAAAAAACGCCCAGAGCAATAGAAGCAATCATATTCATGAATATAAAGGAGTCGTACCCGCGACCATCAGAAGTAAAACAGTAAACCTATACCACCAAGGGCGTCGAACGTAAGACTATACAACTTACTACTGTTAAATACCCAAAACTGTACTATACAGTGTACAGTACAGTTTTAGGACTGTGTACGGAATGAAACTAAATCAATCCTTAGTATTTGCAACAGTATCAATATCAGTACGGCATTACAAGTAATTTTGTATATATATATATATATTAAGACTGATAATGGAATGGTACTCCCACCTGCACCAACGGTTAACGCTGGTCATCAACACCAGTGTCATTCTCCACTTAAGATGAATATGAGGTCAGGTTAGTTAGTCTATTGTGGCAAATTCACCAGGTATATTTAGTATATACCATGTTATGGTATATTTGCTAGCAATTGTTTTTTTAGCCAGTGGAGATATAAATGGTCAGTTCAGTTTTAAGGGTTATAATGGCAAATTTGCCAAGAATTTATCACAATGATTTCCTCCTGGAAAGCCATCGGATGTCAACCTGACATGACATAATGCTAGCAATAGATTCCTTAGTCCACATTACTAACAATCCCCTTTCCCCCACTAATTTTATATTGTTACCGCCAGTCATTCGGACGTAAACGGCTGGACCATCCAACTGGGTATCACCAGGAGACGCTCTCATGCATACTACGGACAGAAGGTGAAGGTACGACGCGTGGTTCCACATCCTCAATACAACGTTGGCGTCGCTCATGACAATGACATCGCACTATTCCAGGTAAATTAATTATAAAAATTAAATGTAATGAAATTATAAAAATTAATTGTAATGTAATTATAAAAATTAAATGTAATGAAATTATAAAAATTAATTGTAACGAAATTATAAAAATTAATTGTAATTAAATTTAATGTAAATTTAATTACAATTAATTTAATGAAAATCTGTGCTATGCTGCGTACGTTCCACTCACAGCATCAGCTGCGTCAGCGCCTTTTGTTCAGAATATGCGCGCGTTAGTATTCTACTGCAATTCCGGCAGCGTTTATCCGCCCTGTAGATGTTGTAGGGCAGGTCAGGGAGAGAACATATCAATTATTTTCGTTTGCTATTACCACAGATAACATAATATTCTATTACTAACTATTTTATGTCTTATATCTTTATGTATAGCTTGCTGTACGGGTACGTTACCACGAGCAGTTGTCTCCAGTGTGCCTGCCACCAGAAAACAGGGCGCTACCAGCCGGTACACTGTGCACTGTCATCGGATGGGGCAAACGGGATGACAAAGACAGTAAGCGAATCACGGTCTTTTATCATTTCAAACCGTCGGTTGTACAGTGGTTTAGCACACCGCTTTACTTCCGATGGTCGCAGGTTCAACTCTACGGTACAAACATTTGTATTTGTGAATATGATTATTTGTATCGGTCTGGGTGTTTTCTACGTATATTGTTTGTTTTCTTTGTAATATTTTATTGTGCAATAAAATTAGAATTAAAAGGATACAACTGAGTTAATGAATGAATGCTTACAATTGCGGACTTATCCCCAGAGGCATTTCTTCTAGTGAACCTTTGAATGACTGAGAGGAATTGTGGAGTGGTGCACATAGATACAATAAATAATAGGTACGCATATTATGTATATCTATGCATATTATTTAATATAAGAGTAAATTGTATATATATATATACAAAAAAATAAAGTATTTATATCACTTGTCTCCCATAACACTACCTCTTCTTATAGTGGGACTAGATGACGTTGTATGAATTCTCAAGGGGTATTATTAAACATACTATCTGCCTGATTATAGACAACGACTATAACCAATGACAGTTTAGAGCAGAGGCACCGTCCACGCCTTTTTGATGTTGTGATATTTGAAGTTATCATGAAGGAACTTTTGTTCTCGACTCGATTACTTATTAACAATCTATATTGCACATACTCCATACTTATATATTTGATGACCTCGCTTGTTTAGTTATTTAGAATACTACCTTGATTTATAACAGACATGGGTTCGATTACCGCATTTATTTTGTTTATATGGATGTTTTTCATTATATTTAAGTTTTTTTTATGGATGATAATGGCCATTCCATTATCATCACATATGCCTGCACGGTTACTTTACTTAACGGTTTAAGCTGGCGGGGCACCAGTGGAGAATGATAAGATGAGCATGGGGTCAGATCAGTTAGCCCATCGTGGCAAATTCACTAGCATTTATCAATATGGTTTCCAGAGGGAACCACATGGAGATTAACCTGACATGGTACATTACTAGCGATGGGGTCATCAGACCCGTCCCTTTCCCTCCTAGTGTCAGGTGTTAGAAATAGAAATAGAAATAATCTTGAATTCTCTCTAATTTTGAATAGTCATATTTTTTATTCTACCACTCTAATTTACATGATCTATATAAGTTCCGCTTCATTTAGAACTAGCGCTGTGAGTTGTCCAAGGTTATCAAATTTGAATATTTGAATAAATAAATTTCATTAAACATTTCAGTGTCTGAATATGAGCCTGCAGTGAATGAGGTGGAGGTACCGCTTCTGAACCGTGACATCTGCAACCAGTGGCTTGAACATCGAGACCTCAATGTTACGGAGGGCATGATTTGTGCTGGCTACCCGGAAGGCGGCAAGGACGCTTGTCAGGTTAGTGTGATTATAATGACAATGAAATGTAATGATAACGATAATGGAAACGTAATGATAATGAATTATAATCACAATGAATTATAGTGGTAATGAATTATCGTTATCCTAAATATATGTTCATCCTAATCCTATCTGTATAAGTATATAGAAACTCTTTCTTTTTGAAATCAGCTCAAATAGAGAAATATATTTAATATTTTGTATATATACCATAGGACTATAGTTATTAATGTTAATCATTTAATTACCATAAACTGGCTATAAATAAATTTAAAATATCTGTTGTTTTTTAATATAATAAGATTTAAAAGTTGTTTTAACAGATAATACGAAAGGATAACTTAAATGTCAATGTTGTTCATGCACGGGATTTTCATTTAATGTTAGACATACTTAGACATAATATTGAATGAATTTCATTTCATATTAGACATAATACATGCATAAAACATCCATCTAGTCCCAGCTAAGTAGAGCTTGTGTTATGGACTATACAACTGATATATTTTTTGTTGTAAATACATAATTGATATACTTAGAAAACACTTAGATTGATACAAACAAGACTAGTGAATACAAATATTTGCACCGTGCAAGGAATTGAACCCGCGACCATCAGAAGTGAAGTGGTGTGCTAAGCCTGTATAGAATCTTTAGGTGTTCAAATAACACACTAGTTCACTAGAAGTCTACTCAAGTTCGTTCATAGGTACTCGTAAATATTGAAAATAGTTTGCTGTTCTAAGTTTTATTACTTACTTACACGCGACTTCGTCCGCGTGGAATTAAACTCTATTTTTCTAAAATAAAAGTAGCCTAAGTTACTCCTCATTACTTCAGCTACCTGCCAAAAATGTCCCGTCAAAATCGGTCCAGCCATTTCAGAGATTAGCGGGAACAAGCAGACAGACAGACAAAAATTGTAAAAAGAAAAAGTTTTGGTGTACGGAATGTACACCAAAATATTAAATATATAACCAACTGGTTAAATAACTAAATAAGAGGTAATAAGTCGTAGTTTGATTATAGTAGTCATAGTTCGCCATATGTACATTACATATGGCGAACTTAACACCGAAGGGCATTCTCTATCAACTGATAGAGAATGCCCTTCGGTCCTTCGGCCCTTCGGGTTCAGTTTGCCTTATGGTTAACTAACCATAAGGCAAACTGAGAAGTTAGTAAGCGACGCATTATAGTACAAACACACGTAACATCTATTGAGGCATTGATTCCTATGACAAGTTTGAAATCGCTGACTTCAAATCTAAAATTTCCAGCTCCATCCCTCTCTCCATCATAAAACGTTGTCGAGTGGAATGAGTAGTCATGCTCACTAAAATGTCCAGACATGTGGCGGCGTGGTGGGCCGGGTCATTGGGCTCCCTAAAATATGGTCGGGCGTAGAGATGGCTGGCTCATCCGTCATAATCGTGAACGAGTGCTGCTTGTTGGGACTGGTCTGCTCTTATCACTACGACTGATTTAATCTTATTGTATATTTATATTTGACCCAAATAAATTAATGCTGGTTGGTAGTTTGTATTCACACGTTTCGACTTGTAAATGTAAACTTACAAGGATTATTTAAAAGAGCAACACACAAGTTTCTTGCTCGTTCTTCTTGTGATGAGACAGCGTTGTGATCGAGTGGTAGATAAAAATATTGTTATGACTATTCAAAAGTGTTTAATTATAGTTTATTTGAATAAATGATTTTCTGTTCTATTCTATTCTATTCCATAAACTAGAATCTAATTAAAATTGAATAACTAAACGCACATACGAATATAGATACTAAGATTGTTTATGTCTTCTCGGTACGCAGTCAAATAAGCGACTATAAGATGGGGTTCGAGCCTCAGGGAGGTGGTGGGGAGGCGCGAGGAGCGCGGTACAAGTGAGTCAACACTCTCTAAGAGTTTATTGGATATAGTGAGCTCGAGAAACCTTCTTATACATTGTTGTCGGTGTATTGATGAAATGTTCTCTTTATTGAATTTACCAAATCGTTACGCCCCTATTTATAGTTAAAACCACTAATATACTAGGAAATGTCCACTGACAGTGATTTACCTGTGTGGGTGACGCTTTGTCATTAACACGCTGCTTTACTTTGATGGTCGCGGGTTCGATTCCTCGCACGTGAACAGTCGTATGTATTTACAAAATAGAAATATCTAAGTATTTATATTAGTTGTCTAGTATCTATAACACTAGCTCTGCTTAGTTATTAGATATGTGAATGAAGATTTAACAGCCTCGGTGGTGCAGTAGTCGCAGGTTGGATTCGGCGCAAAACATTTACACATGTACAAACATTTCTTTCTTTAAGTTGTTTATTAATAATCAACGATATTGAAACGTGGGACTGCACGAGTGCGTTCTGCCATCTTTGATCAAATATTCTCTGCGTAATGTGGACATATGGCTAGGGTTATAGGCCTATCAGGGGCTTCAGGAACTACTGTGGTAGACTACTGTATTTCCCCAGGTCTCTGTCAAGGTAAAGAGGAACACCAGGACTCTCACATACGCCACTCGTTCCTCCGGCCGAGAGGACGGTCTATGAAGATTAGAGGTGGATCGTGAATTTGTGGGGCCCTAGACTAAATCTACTTAAGGGCCTACCTAATTATATTACTCTCAACTAAAAAAATACACCGACCAAAAACAAGCGACCAGAAATTCCCTGTTCCTTTCGATAGACGCACACTTAGATGGGTTGATTAATCTCAGTGTTGTCAACCTTATGATAGTTTTTTTAACATTCTAGATATTTTTTATATTCTAAATATAATTTCAGTGGGGACTGTGGGCCCTTTGTACCCTCGGAGCCCTGGGCTGCCGCCTAAAAAGCCCTTAAGTAGATGAAGATATCTCTTTAAAAAAAGGGATATATTCTATCTGGTATTACAGTACAGAGAGGATATTTTCCACCTAATGATATAATTGAAAGTTTTTCATATCTATATTGTGCTTGAAATATCTTTTCATTAAATTTATGAAGCCTGCCGAAATTCCAAGCAATTTCCTGTACAATGTGAAAATAAATTATATAAGCATGTACTCGTGTATATTTGGAACCTTAACAAGGCCCCTGTACATTGTAATAATAACAATACAATAAAAAGAAGGGAATTCAGTACGCAGAATTAGGAAGGTAGATATTTTGTATAGTATAAAATAATATGTACAATCATAGTTCCAACCATGCAATAGATATGTACAATCATCATGCCATCACTTACAAATATAATTCAAATTTAAATTCAAAAACCACTTATTCATGTAAGGTACCTGGGTCGAATATGGCCATTTTCCCAACTTTTAAAAAAATTAACACAAATCCTAACCTATTTGTTTCTAGGTTTTTCCGTGACCGCGATATATTACCTAAATAAATACGTTATTAAATAAATATTTATTTGTATCTTTTCATTGTTTTAAAATACGTTATTTCTAGTGTCAAACCTTAACGTGGCCATATACGACCCAGGTACCTTACGACATTTTAGCCACTTATGAAAGTCAAGTTTTCTGTGATTAATATTTTTTGCTAATATCGGAATCGATGCAGCCGTTAACTGTGTTTTTGTCCAGGGTTATAATTATTATTATAAACATATAATTATAATGTCAGGACAATTCACACAGCGCTATCTAGACCCAAGTTAAGCTAGCTAAAGCTTGTGTTATGTGCACTGAATTGGTATTCCGCGCAACTTTGTTTTTTTTTCTTTTATAAAAACCTTCTGTTGACTATTACAAACGCTACAAAAAGATAAGATAAGAAGAATCGGTCCAGCCGTTCACGTGTAATACCATTACCAAGAGACATGTGAATAAATTTTTATATTTATATTTTATATTTAGTTGAGAATATAACCTTAAATTTAATGTAATAACCTTAATTTAATTATTTATTTATTTAACTTTAATGCACAAAAACAATGTGTACATATGGCGGACTTAACACCTTGCGGCGTTATCTACCAGGCAACCATGAGTGGTGCAGAGAAAGATTGTTGGCGGTGCACTAATATAAATGTGAAATGTCAAAAAAAAATATATAAATGAAAAGCAAAGTATTTTAAATATAAATTTGTATAAAAAATATACATACATAAATATATATAAATAAATACATAATGATCTGATAATCAAATTATAAGTACAGACTCAAATTGAAAGTAAGAAAAAAAAGAAAATATAGAGAACTATAGGGAAATAACAGAAAGATGTGAAAATAAGAGAAGGACAGTAAAAAATAGTTACAAATTTAAATGATGTTCCCGCAATTTCTTTTTAAACGAAGTTATGGTAGAATTTAGACCATTCGGCGACCATAGCGTAGTATAAGTTTGAACATTATTAAGATTCTATTGTCAAAGACTACACTTCAATGCGTGGTGTGTCAAAGACATAGTAGTGTGTATAATATATGTTTTTTTATTGTTTTAATGTATGTTTTATGAGTTACATTAAAATATTCTAAATATATTAGTATTTTGCACCCCTTCTCTATATAGACTATCGAAATTTCATACTCCTCGAATCACGTGATTTCTGTAAAACTTTTGCCTCAAATTGAAATTAAATTAAAAAAAAAAATTATCATGTAGGACATTTTAGCCGCTCATGAACGTAAATTTTTTATATTATAATTTCTTCTCTACCGTCCAGTTCAGTATATACATCCAATTTGGAAGAACTAGCAAGAAACTCAATTACTTTTTTTTTCTTTTTAAATGCCAGTTTATTTACAATGTATATTTATATAGGTGTCTATGTCTAACATTAAACCAAAATCCCCTGTATGAACAACTATTGCCAGCCATGCACGCTTGTCATTCAAGTAATCGTTTAGTGAGGCCTTGCTCAGTAAATATGATTTAACAGATGTTTTGAATTTATTTAAGGGTAATTCCAGTCTATCCTTTGGCATCTTATTGTAAATTTTTATACCTATTCCCATAAAAGAACTATTGACTTTTTCTAAACGATACTCACGTATTAATGCAATGATTACTAATGATTTATTTTATCGAACTGGAACCAATGAAGATAATATTGTACACAGGGCGATTCAGGTGGACCACTACTCTGCAAGGACCCGGACGACCCATCCCGCTGGTACGTTGGCGGGATCGTCTCCTGGGGGATCAAATGCGCGCATCCTCGCCTTCCCGGCGTCTACGCGTACGTCCCCAAATATATACCCTGGATCCAGCGACAGATCGCCCTCTACAACGATGATAAAGCAAAGTCCGAGGACATCTGAGGGCACCGTTTACATATACAGCCCTCCGCTCACCGCCGGATTTATGGTAACGATATATAATGTGACGGTCCCTTGGACATGGCATTTTAATTCTGAAGGTACGACTTAAGGTGATAATTGACAATAAATGAATCCATGACAATAAAACTGAGCAGATGGCTATATATATATACATATATATCTATCGATAGATAGATAGATCTTGTGACGTTAAATATAAAACTGTGATAATATGAAATCTTTTATTCTGAAACGAGTTCGCTTGTATTGTATAAAAGTTTACCGGTACGACTAACGTTGACTTTTTGAATTTGCCGTTTTTTTCGTCTCTCGATACCTTTTCTCGGGATGTAACTTCGTTTGTAAACTATTTAATGTTAATGTAAGCAGCTTAATTAAGTGACGTAGGGTTCTGAAGCTTTAGCTAAAACTTTTAGGAGGTTTTTATATTGTCCCTGAAGGTTTTTCGTTTTTATTCCGTGTTGTTGGACGTTTATAGTATATCTGTGTAGTGTCATGGCGTGCTTTTGGTGAGGAACAGCGAGATATAAATGGTATATTAATATATGGACATACGAGTACGTTATCATCTGGAAAGGTCAGTTTACAAACGACAAGCTGGTACGACTTTAAGGATCCCATTTTCTTGTTGTCCTCCCCTGGGCGCGACCATGCTTAGCACTTAAGTGTATGTTTGTTTGATGTTTGGTGTTAGTAGTACTAGCAGAAAGTGCTTTTATAGAGTAAACTGATGAACTATCTCGTATATATTAAAATGAAATATATCATTTGTACATATTATCGAGACACTCCGGTGTTATTAGTAGTATATTAATGTATTAAAAATTCTTTCCATTGACAATAATTTTCATTGGAATGTATGACAATAAGATAGTAGTTACGATTAACTATAAGTCGCAATTGACAATAATTGGTATCGATAATAAAAAAAAGCAGCGTAGTGTCTCCTGTAGGTGGAATTGCTGTAAATTGGAATCGCGATTGAACAGTCGCGATTCGATTCCTAGTGACACATGACAATAATTGATTTTTCGACATTTATATACAAACGTGTGGTAGTTTAAGCTTTGTTATATATATACTATACAACATAACTTAGCTGACATGTTCTGTTTTCTAAAATTAGGTGTCTAGTGACATTTTCTAAACTTCAAATAATTAATAGTTACTAACGTGGAAATTAGGAAAATAGCTTTAATAGTTCGTAAGTTAGCTTATTTAGTGAATTAGATAATAATAATTGTTTAGAAATAGATAAAAGGATCGGTTCTTTAAACTACTTTTGTATATACATTGAATGACTTGTGTATTTTTTCATTCTCTAAAGTTTATATATACAAACGTACCTCATATATAAACATGTTACGTATTTGATGATCTCTATATAGAATTTATAAGTGTATATGTTTAAACTCGGTTATTTATTAGATAGTGACATCCCTAAAGCAAAAGTCTATGCTCAAATGTGAAAATTTTATTATAAAAATTAAAAGCGTGGGGCCCTGCACAGAGGCAAATAAAATATATATATCCAATTATGTAATACAAATGTTAACAATAATAGAAATATAATTACATATGTAGCTATTATATTATTTATACTATTAACTGAAAATGTTCTAAATATTTGACTGCGTAGTCCCCTAACGTAATATGTAATAGAAATAATTTATTATTTTTATTTATTTATTTATTTATTTATTTCAGGCTACTAGGCTCGTATTATAAATACCTTATATACTAACATACATATGAAATAGTATAAAATTAAGATATTGAAATTGTCTGTGTGATTACGGCACTGACGTTGGCAATTCCTTTCGCCCAATAGTCCTCATTCATGAAGGTGGACAATAATGTAATCTAAACGTTATTATACATACACTTAGATTGAAATTCAAATACAACAAGTGATTTTTAAAAGTCATAATTGTAAAACGTAGCACAGAATTTTATACTTTATATAACAATATTTTGGAACTAAATATGAATTGATTATACAGATTTTACTAGTTCAGTAACTAATATATATTCAAATACAATATATCATTATCCATGTAGGTCTATTACAGACTCGTCAGTTCGGAATGATTTCGAGATGAGAAGAACTGACAAGAAACTCAGCTCGAATTCTTTTCAAATAAATATTGTACATGTTTAAAATAATACACAGTTATTTAAATTCAAAATATCTTTATTCATGTAGGTACTTACATTACAGACTCCTATGATATGTCAAATCTACCGTCGGTTCGGAATGATTTCGAGATGAGAAGAACTGACAAGAAACTCAGCTCGTATTCTTTTCAAATAAATATTGTACGTGTTTACAATAATACACAGTCATTTAAATTCGAAATTCAAAATATCTTTATTCAAGTAGGTCTATTACAGACTCTTATGATATGTCAAATCTACCGTCAGTTCGGAATGATTTCGAGATGAGAAGAACTGATGTATTATATATTTTCTGGGTCGCTGTGCAGGATCGCAGTCTTAAATTTAGGTTAGTACTAAAGTATGGTTGTCGACTTCTTATGACTCCCCTTCATATCTCGAGCTTTCTACTAGAGTAACACGATATAGTTATAAATTAAATTCTATCTTATTTGAGAATGAGGTGAAAAAGTGTGATGAATGCATTGAAATGTAAAGGCCACGAAAATCAGAGCCTTAATTATGTAACAATGTTATGATCAATATCAATCACTATCAGCAATGATATTTCCGAACCGATACGATATTGAAACCTTCAAGAGCTAACTCCTTTTTAAAAGGCCGGCAACGCACTTGCATGTCTCTGGTGTTGCGGGTGCTCATGGGCGGCGGTAGTTACTTACCATCAGGTGAATCGTAAGCTCGTTTGTCCACTATGCTGTAAAATAAGACTGTTATGATAAGTCAAATCTACCGTAAGTTCGAAGTGCTTTGGAGCTAAGAATTGACAAGAAACTCAGCTACCGCAAACTAGTTTGTCCACTGTGCTATAAAAAAATTATATAAATATATTTATTCATGTAGGTCCATTACAGACTGTTATGATGTCATGATGTCAAATCTACCGCCACTTCACGTCACGAGTGCTTTCGAGTTAAGAATTGACAAACTCAGCTCTTATTCTTTTCAAATGAATTTGTACATGATTACAAAACTTTTATATGTAGATTAACAAATATCAATTGTCTTGAGAATGGTTTTGCGATTTTCTATGAAACATTTGAGAGTTGCAAATGCGAGCTATATTGTACAGTTCACGATTGAAATCGTTACATAGTACTTTACTATAAAATTGTATATTTGAATACGTTTCAAATTGACCAGGAAGATTGTAAAAAGACCTCTGTTATGGGTACATCATTTTCAGCTATTTCAACCACCAAGCAACCTACTTTGTTAGCTGTGTTTCAGTTCTAGGGTGCAGATTAGGCAGTCGGAGGGGGATCGATCGGAGGGTGGTCGATCGGAGGGAAGTCGATCAAAGGGGGTCGATCGAAGGGGCGTCGATCGGAGGGGCGATCGATCGGAGGACTTGAACTAAAAAGGATATGGCGTATATATATACACAATAATAAAACAAAACAATCGCCGTCTACCTTTAACACAGCGCCATCTAGTATGTAGTTCGCGTACTAAAAGTTCTATGTAAACTAACAAACTTATACAATATGATTTGTTAGTAACATTATTACATAATTAAGGTTCCGATGTACGGTATGGGAATTGGGCGTAGCCATGTAATCTTATCTACCATTGAATTATTGTTGGCACAATGTAGTCTTTATTTTTTAGCGTTTTATGAAACTATTGGATAAGAGATTGCAGATTTAACTATTAACTTATTTGTTTATTGTTTGTTAACTCTTTATTCATCTAGAAGTATCTATATCTCATGCTTAATAATATAGCATTAACTAGAAAATTACAAATGTTTGAAACTAGACTTTAAAATCAAAAGTTTAGAGTCGTTTTCCGAAAAAGTGTAATTTTGAGTTATAGCAGTATAGTACTGAGGGTGCGAGAGTCATTACTCTGTATATAATTTATTAGGTAACAAAGGACAGTATTATAGCTCAAGACTACTACAAAACAAGCAATGAGTAGGTGAATCTAGTTCAAAATTATAAATGTTGAAAAATAAACTTTAGAGTTATAATTTTAAAGTCTATTTCAATTTTTTATTTATTTTCTATATAAATTATTGTATTAAGAGTGCTATGTTATTCATTTACGTTTGTTAGAAGTTTTCTTTAAAGAAACGTTGTGAGTTTCATTTAGCTGTTACTATATTCATAGAATGTATAGTTATATTTAATAGACAGATCATAACGTAGATATTTTTATCTAAAACTAACTAAAATACAGTTAAAATAATTTATGCAAAAGACAAAAATAATTTTAAGTTCATTAGATAGAAATGATTCATCTGGTACATATAGAAGTATGTAGTTTATTTCAAAGGGAACGCCCAACTTGTACATACGTTCCAGCATCCTAAAAATGTAAGTTATGTGTGTCTGTACATTGATATATTTACAAGGAAAAAACCACTATATAGTATTATTTTAACTTTTCAATTTGTAATGAGTTTCATAGGACAAAGTTATTTGTATTATAATTTTAAAATATTATGTTTCTAATTCATGACGCTCGGATTGTCAAAAGTTATGTTGCAACCAAATTCACTTCAACATTTATGCTTTCCACCAAATATAAAAGTAAGAAGTACGGGCGAAACCGCGGGAAATGTTTAGTTAACAGTAATTTAAGGATAGATAGAAAGTACAAAGGCTGATTATAAAGGGAAAATATGAGAGACTTAGTCTGGATGGATGGAACTTTCGTTAGCTGGTTTCTCTAGATATTATGAACTCACTCTTCATACTGAATCCTATCAAGCCGTGTCGTTTCCGAGTAGTGCTTGCGAGTTCTAGATCCACATAGTATAACAGATATATTTTATGACGATACCTAATATAAAT